TGACTCCAGTCCATCAATTAACATCTTGTGAAGTGAAAAGCTGTGTGTTTGTAATAAACATAATATATTTTTAATGCTTCTGGCCAAAATATCAGTCCATAATATCAGACATAAGGGTCAGTCATAAATCCACCAACATACTTGTTTAGAACTGCTTTTGGACTGTTTTTGCTTGTAAACGGTGCTTGATCGTGCATATTTCTCTCCTGATTCAGACGACTTTTCCAATGGAGTAAGCAATATTATGGATAGAGGACATGTATTTTAACTGGTATTTGGACTGGAGTCTTCTGGATTACTTGTGAATTATTGTGATGTTTTTATCAGCTGTTTGAACTTTCATTCTGATGGCACCCATTCACTGCAGAAGATCCATTGGTGAGCAAATGATGTAAAGCTAAATTTCTCCACATCTGTTTCGATGATGAAACAAACTCATCTACATTTTAGGTGGCCTGATGTTCAGCAATTTTTCATTGGGTGAACTATTCCTTTAAACAAAAATGCTTCCCCCACTGTGAGGGAGAGAAATCAGGGCCAATAAAACTACACGATTTCTACCGAGTTTTTATGTGGCTCAGTAAACTGCAAGTACTGTCTTTGACAGCCGCAAATCAAACCTCCAGCCATAATGATAAGATTCCAGTATACACATAAACACATACTGTCCGAATGAAAAATATATTAACCCTATATGTTCTGAATACTGAAATGACTTGTGTGTTGGTACCTGTGGTTTTATTGCTTGAATGCATTAGTATGCTAATTAAACCTCCATTTGCTCAAGCTACAGTGTATTTTGTCGGTGAACGCACAATTCTCACAACAGAGATCAATTATCCTGCTGCTTTACAAACATTTTACTCCCTTTATTGCACTGCCTACAACCATTACACTGCGAGACGACCACTTTGATCGGCTATTGATAGCCTGTTTTCCTGTTCCTGCCCCAAACTTGTTCTCGTCACAGCTGAGTGGAACAAATAATCGATTCAACTGCCTACGAGGCTATAAATTCTGCTGTCCGCTTCTCTCTGCTTCCTTACGTTTAGTCTTAGGTTTGTTTTAACCTGAAAACACTCATTATTTATTCTTTTTATTGCCAAAGCATATAGAACAAAATGAGTTTAAAAAAAAAGATATTTCTCAGTACAGATCTTGGGCATCATTAGAAGGCGAATCTTCTAGGAAAGACTTAAGAAGATGTAAATTAAAATATCTCTTCACTAATGAATGCAAAAAAAATGCACTCAGGCAAAACAGTTGAAGCTAATCAACACAGCAGTATATCTCGATCCTCAACCCCCACACAATATGTCACTCTACTAGAAAATTTAAATAGTTAAAGCCTTTAATTTAGTGCAGGTATATTTAATTATATTAATTTGAAGACATATAAGCATGCAGTAAGTGTTGTCTGCTCTGTTACATTTATTCAATTTTTCCCCCCTTTTTTTCTCAGGGAGAACTTCCTTATTAATTCAGAGCAGCCAGAGGGCCGATCACCAGTTAACTATGTCGACTCCCATCCAATCTGGTCTTAAGTGAAGCGATAAGGTCTTAAAAATGGTAACAAATTGCTCTTCTCTTCTTGCTGCTGCTGACACTGAATGTGTCTGTGTGATAAGTCAGTTTAAAGAGAGATAAAACTAGTTTTATAGCATGAATATTCATATAAGTGGCCAAATTCTGTGGCATACAAATGTATTTCACATTTTTTTTAAATACTGACCTATAAAATATTTCAGTTCTGTGTTGCCGTGCTTCAGTGAGGAAGGTCTGATACTTTAAAGATGCAGCAGCTACAGTTGTCGTCTTATTCCCCAGTCACATGCATATTGCATTCACAGTGACCTCAATTTAAGTTTACTTGGTGACTTCGTTTTTTCAAGAACTGGAAAAGTAGCTTGAGAGGGTCATTTATCATTTTTTCGTACAGTATGTCTGAGTTGCTGTGCCAAAGCATTCGTAGTGAGCACAGTTACAGCGTACAGTGGAAACACACCGGGCAAACACACCTGCAAAGAGATACTGATAATAGTTATGATGTGCAAACAAACTGAGGCTCTATATCAGCTGTTTGCAGTGACATTATAAAATAACAGAAGCAGAGCCTGATGGACAAAAGCCGGTGTCCCTGCTTAATATGTTAATATTTGTCAGTTCAGTGCAAATGAAAATTTAGGGTCACACTTTACGTTACAGTATTTGTGTTACTGTATAATACTGATGAACAAATAGCATGACTGGGGCAAGTTGTCACACACTTTTTTGCTCCAGTGAATAATCACTGGAGCAAAAAAGTGTGTGACAACTTGCCCCAGTCCTGCTATTTGTTCATTACAGTTTTTGTTGATCACTTTGGTACTAATTTCACAAGTATGTGGTAAAACCTCACAACTGTTAGTACAAAACTCAAAGCAGATCATCAAAAAGGCTGTTTTTTCAAACATGTAATCACATGTTCAATTGACTAAGTACAAGACACAAAATTACACATTAACTTTTTCACCACACCTAATCAGTGTATCATCAAAGAAATACCTTTCATATGAAGTACTTGTCTTTCACAATGCAATGCTCACAATTCTTTTGATATCCTTCTCTTCTGATTGGAGTAAATACATTTGACCAACACTTAATCCAGCTGCTCTTAATGGTTAATCACTGAACCGTTTGGTAAACCTATACATTTTAAATTGGTTTGTTAGCTATGCAGTATATGGATTTCGAGAACTACACAAATAAAATGTGTGTTTGTACAAACATCTAAATTACATGTAACCACACATGATGAATACTCATTATTGCTAATTGATTTCACATAGTGGTAATCACAATTGGTCACTATATATAAAAGTGGGGGTGTAAACACTGGAAATTTCTTTCAACATGGAATGTCGGAGGATTTCAATATAAGCCAAGAGGACACTGGTTTTCCTTTGCTGTAAACAAAACTTGTTTCCCACGAGACTAGCATATTCTCACCGGAGTTTACGTTACGCCTACATCATCCGCTGGACGCCACTCTCTCGTGAACGCGCATACGACAGTTAGCGGAAGTTAGAGATTAAGGTTTATAAAGTTGTAAATATGGATATTTTTCTTACACAAACGCATCGCTTCGCTTCGGGAGGCCTTTATTAACCCCCCGGAGCCGTGTGGACTTCTTTTATAATGGATTGGTTCAATTTTTTGGGCTACCATCCACTCCCATTATAACGCTTGGAAGAGCCAGGATGTTGTTTTTTTTTATATAACTCTTTTGTCTGAAAGAAGAAAGTCATATACATCTAGGATGGCTTGAGGGTAAGTAAATCATGGGGTAATTTTCATTTTTGGGTGAACTAACCCTTTAAGACTAGATGTTCCACCATACAAAACTACTGCTAGAGAAAATACATATTTTTGTTAGGACGTTTTGACTCAAAAACTGTAGTTATTAGGATACAGACAGTGTGACAACTAGCCCCATTCTAATCTACTTTCAATTACAGTTACATGCTACTGTATATGTGTGTGTACTATAATATAGAGTTTTACCATCTTTAGAAGTACTATTTGAACTGTCAGACCAACCTGAGGCAGTTTCAAGAGACCGTTTATTGGCCTAAACAATTCTCAGATATGAAATACTACCAAACCAACAAAGAGAAAGAAGGCGACAGACACTCGCGCAAGCCACTCAGCGTTCACTGCGTGGCGCCGCTGTCCATGGTACTAGGTCACACACGCGCTGCTTTTAGCTTTATTGCTGTTTAATATTCAGCGCATGCACACAGTCCCGGCTACAAGACAGTTGATACATCAGCAGTTTGACTCGTATGGACTGTGCTTCTTACTACAGATGCCTCACGGAGGTGATAGCGGTGGTGGATGACAACGCTATTTTAGTTCATTATGGTGTGGAGCAGAAAAGTCATTTTTCTCACGGTGACTGGTGTGTCCAGTTTCTGTTGTTTCAGACATATTGGTCGGCTAAATTTAAGTAGTTTAGAAGCCTACTACTTACTCCTAAACTCTTTAAATCAATGACAAATACAAAGACATCTGCTGTTACATATAGATTGTAACGTTCATTTAAAACATGAATTTATTGTAGTATTCAAATGTAAATGTTTAAACATTATGATTAGTATTATGCTATACATATTGTACATACTGTATACACTGTCTCATTTTGTGCAATCTTTGCAGGTCCAGTAAAGTAGCATATATTAGAAAGCGTTACAACCTTCTAGCTTTTTAACATTACCTCAACATTGGTTTTGGTCCTATCTTACATTTTTACAGATTCTTACAACTTTTCGCTTCATAAGGGTCATGTTCATGTATGATATTAATTTCATCCTTTGTAGCTCATTTCCAATTTGTTTAAATCGTTACAACTCACCCCGTGTTACAGCATTCCCATGTCTCCATATTTACAGTAGGCTACAGCATTCATTAGATGAGTCAAAATGCACTAACTATATATTACAAATGTAAAGAAATAACCCAGGAAGAGAGCTGAGATGAACCTGACTTTTCCAAAAACAGTATATTTTAACAGGAAAATCTTAATAGCAGTAACAAAGGCATCAGTTTGGGTTACTGAGAGAAAGCGTCCAGTCAGCAGATCTTCCGTCACATTACCTCAGGTTATTTCTATAGACGAGGCTATTATGAGAGCTGAATGCTTTAGTGGCTAATGCAACAAATCAAGTCCAACATCTCTAGTTTTCCACAGTTTAATTAATTGCATGAAGGTAAGTGAATGCAGGAGGCTTTATAAGCGCAAATACCCCGCTTACATTAATTCACTTCCCAAATCAAACGGATTAAAACACAATTAAATGTTCTTGAAATGCCTTTTGCTATCATTTAATTACAATTCAACTCTAAGTCACATCTCAATGTGCGTTCGAGCAGACTCAAGTAGCTCCTGCCTCATTCATTTACAATGCAGCAAAATCCCGAGGTGCCTCACGAACATTTTTTTGTGAAAAGTTGTAACATACCTCAAACAAGGGTCCGATCTTATTCTTCTCCAGGTATGACTGAATTCTTGACTGCTGTAGAGACGCCATGAGAATGTGTTGCGCTAAACAGCAAAAGGTTTGGATATCGTTAAATATCGCCAAGCATCTTCAGACGTGCGGGATTGCGGATGGATCTCTAGCGGGCAGAGAGCGGACATCCAGCGCTGAGAGCTCGGCTGCTGCTCCAGCACATGCTGAAAGTAACGGGCTTTGCGTCCTCCCTCGGTTTGCCCACTATCTTATCTGATGGGACTATCCCTCCCCCGGTCTCGGCAGAGTAGCTGGCGACGGCTTCTTCTCAAAGCCAATCAAAAACATTACACCTTACATGAATGTTTATTCATTGGCTGTTCAGGTCTGAGAGACCCGCCCTCGTTGTTTACACAGAGTAAGTGTCATTATTAAATTCATATGCACGTACTTTGTATGAAACTCGCATTATGAAGAATTCTTAATACTTCCTTGTGCTTTATAGCCTAATCTTGTATGCACGTAAATAAGCCACATTTATAATTTGCATTTATAATACATTATAATACATACATACATTCTGCATTTATTCTGATGCAGAAAAGCTAGTTCATGCATTCATGACCTCTAGACTGGACTATTGCAATGCACTGCTAGGTGGTTGTCCTGCATCTTCAATAAACAAGCTACAGGTGGTCCAAAATGCAGCGGCTAGAGTCCTTACCAGGTCAAGAAAATATGATCATATTACCCCAATTTTACAGTCTCTGCAATGGCTACCTATTAAGTTCCGTATCAGTTACAAATTATTATTGCTTACCTATAAGGCCCTTAACGGGTTAGCTCCTGCGTACCTAACTAGTCTTCTACCACGCTACAATCCATCACGCTCCCTAAGGTCGCAAAACTCTGGAATTTTGGTAGTACCTAGGATAGCAAAGCACACTAAAGGAGGTAGAGCTTTTTCGCATTTGGCTCCCAAACTCTGGAATAGCATTCCTGATAACGTTCGGGGTTCAGACACACTCTCTCTGTTTAAATCTAGATTAAAGACACATCTCTTTCGCCAAGCATTCAAATAATGCATATCATAATCTTGTACTGCAGTTATATCTGATCAAATGCACATTATTATTCTTTAGCATGGGCTAAACAAATCAATTTTGCTTGGTTGGAACAGCAACTACGCTAATTATGTCTCTATTTGTTTCTCTGTGTCTGTAACTAGGATTTACACAAGCTTCAGTCTGGATCCAGAACACCTGAGAAGAGATGATGCCAACCCCTCAGAGGACCTCAGATGATGCCAACCCTGAAACAACATACAGAACTACCACATTTTGCTATAAGTTTGATTGCATCATATAATAATTGCTGTTAATAGTGTTCATCGTCTGTTTGATTACGTCTTTAATTGATTTTTCCGTACATTTCTGCCATATGTAAATTAACTGTCAGTCACCACTGACAAGTTACTACTAAATATTGTAGAAACTTAATTTGCTGTAAAGTTGCTTTGCAACGATTTGTATCGTGAAAAGCGCTATAAAATAAACTTGAATCGAATTGAATAATGCTTACCTGTCCCAGTTTCAAAAGTGTAATGCATTAAAAATACATAAGCAACACATTTCATTCTGCATTAGGTCTATACTCTTTTTTAAAAGATGTAACCATTAATAAGTGACCCATTATTTATGAAAATGATGATTGCTGTCAAGAATGGGTTAAGAAGCAAATAAATAAGTTGATTATTACGTACTGTATAAGGGCCATTCACACTGTGAAACGCAGGCCAGTAGAATGAAAAGAAATATGTATATATATATATATAATACATAATATAATTCCATGCAAAATCTTTTGGGATTGGAAAGTCTATAATAATAATAATAATTTATATTTAAAAATATAATAGTTTTCTTTTTTCCAATTTAAACATAGGCACCATTGTTGTTACTATATATTAGTGTCACTAAGTTATTACAGAACATCTGGAAACCATTTACAAAAACTGCATGTGACAATGAGCCCGGGGAAATTATGACAGGTAAACAATGTTTGTCAAAGACAGTTGCCTACATACAGAGGCCATTAGTGAGATTCCTGAAGACTTTAACTGGTCTGATACCAGCTGCACATCTGATGGATGACAGCACAGCACATAAAGCAGCTGGGAGTTTGTGTGCACTCAGCACATGCATACTGTCAAACGCAGACTAAATACATTCACTGGAGAGATCTGTGACAGATTTGCAGCACAAAGTTAAATCAAAATCACTGTTAAAGTCTTAAATGCATAAATGTTTAGTCACACAGCTCCATCAAAAACTGAAGGCTTTTGATGATTGCGTTTTCTCTTAAACATTTTTATTTGAAATTAATTACAATTTGACATTACAATTTATTGTAATAATGGGGAAATCAACCTGGTTTTCAGGTAAAAAAAAAAAAAAAAAAGATAAATGTATTTGGAAAATCTCAAAATGGGTTAGTTTTATGACAAAATAAATAACTGTCTTTTTCAGTGAAAACTTTTTTACAGTAATATTTTCACATGAATTTATGTTCCCTTCTGGCTGCTTTTATCCAGAGCATATTAATTCAGACAGATGTATTGTATAAAACATCTTCATTTCTCAAAATGGAACTTGTGGAGTTAATAAACAATTCCTGTTTAGAACGGTTTCTCAATATTGCATAGTAATGATTGATTAATTTGTTATTTTAAGCAACATTAATATAACATATAACAACTCCTGAGTACTGATTTATTTTTAAATGTGGAGACAAAATGACTTGTATACCTATGTAAGTGTGACAAATATATAAATCTATAACACTGATGACCGTGTCGTATGAACGTTCCAGTACTGTATGTCATTCCATATTCACTGAGACTGCAGCACTAAGACTGCAACATGTAGCTTAATGCACTATGGTGTTAATAAACTCGAAGTTGAGAAACCTAATAATGTGAAAGCCAAACCTATACATATGTTAAAGATTTATATGAAAATAGATGAAATAAAAATGCACATACAGTTGCAATGAGGCTTTTGGATGCTATGCCCAAATAGGAACTATAAACAAAAGTTACGCCTTAACATACATAGACTAAAGCACTGCAATTTTTTTACATGACGAATAAAGTTATTTGAAACAGACATTGTGATTGACACTCTTATTTTTGTGAATGATTTGACAGCAGCTGGGAGATCAGACATACTGTTTGTTTGATCTTCGGTCTAGAATAAGATGCGCCGTAGCAAAGCATGAAATAAAAAAATAATGGTGCCTTTAAAAAGCTATGACAAAAGTCAATAGATATTACGCTGTGAATCCTTTGAGTTGAGATGTGACAGATCTGCCTCTGAGCAGGAGTGAAGGTGAACGTCCAGACGCTCTCATGACGTGGACAGTGTGTGTGTGTGTGTGTCATCTGGAGTTGGACCAAAGATGGTCCAGATCTGTTGAAGACGTGGGTTCAGGGGTCGCCGTCAGGAGGTGGAGGCTGGCACAGTTTGTACAATCTGTTAATAGAATTAAAAAACTATTTTAAATGATAAAATATTTATATATTACATATTTGTAAAATATTTGAAAAAAAATATATATATATAGTACCATATATGTAAAAATATATATGGTTGGTAAGATTTATTATAATTTTTTTTTAATGATTTTAAAGATTTTTAATTTAGTATAGTTTTGTTTTTTTAAATTCATTTATGCTCTGAAAAGTTGATTTTATTTAAACTGTAAAAACAGCAATATTACGAAATATTAGTGCAATTTAAATAACAGTTTCCTATTTTAATATATTCTAAAATGTAATTTAGTCCTGTGATGCAAAGCTGAATTTTCAGTTGGTATTAATTCTGTCTTCAGTGTCACATGATCCTTCAGAAATCATTCTAATATGCTGATTTGTTGCTAAATAAACATTTCTTCTTATTATGAATGTCAAAATCAGTTCGGCTGCTTCATATTTTTGTGTAAACACTGATATTTTTTCCAGATTCTTTGATGAATAGAAAGTTCAAAAGCACATCATTTATTTCAAATAAAAATCGTTTTAAACAATACATTTTTTTTTAACAATTTAGTGCATCCTTGCTCAATAAAAGTATAAATTCCATTAAAAAAATAAAATAAAACTTAAAATTTTAAAACATTTATTTTAAACCATAATTTTATAACAGTTATAAATAATTAAGTTGCAGTGGATTCATAACAACTGTTGAATAGCCCCGCCCATGGTGTATATTTAAAATCACGTGTTCTAATTGATTATGATTATGTCACGTTGCATTTTCTCATACATTGTGGATAGACTGTTACATTGTGCCTGGTTACAACAAGATGTAATACTATATTTGACATTAATTGTGTTATTTTTATGTAAATGATGTAAGAAACTGAACACATACACTTAAATTTGTGTAATAAACAAGCTAATAACTTTCCTTCTGAGCTGCAGTGAATTTTAAAAAGGTTAAACACAAATCCTTGGATTTAGGCAGCGTTCGTTATATGCCAAATAAACATAAGCCGCGCAGCGATGATCACATGCAACACGCTATGAAAAGCTATGAGTCATTGTCTTGAGGGTCACGCGACAGTACATCTCCCTACAGACCTCAAGTGACTGTGACAGATTAGAGTTTACGCTGGAGTTTTGTACCTGCTGAGAGAGAAGGAGTGGGTCTGTTTTTAACGTATGTCTCATTCTGGTTTCCTGCAGGAAATAGAGTCGGGCTCTCGTACATGTTCTCTCTTTTATGCACGCGCACACACACACGCACACACACTCGCACATACCTGCAGTAATGTGATGCTAGAGGACATGCATTTGAAGCTAAATAATATGTTTTGTGAATTTAATACTCCAGGTTTCTGTTCAATTTCATCGTATATGGATGAATACAACATAATGCGCACATTTGGGAAAATGCTGTATCTTTTGTTTCACGTGGCTCTACTGCAGTGGTTTATTTGAAGAATAAATGCAGAACAGCTGTTCCCGAGTTTCTGTCTCCAGTAAAACTGTGGGCCACGTATTAATACGCTAAAGGATATTTAAAAAGCAGACATGCATTTACTATACTAAATTT